CCCCAAAACCCCAAAACCCCAAAACCCCAGTACTATAATATGATATTGAGAATCCTTAACGGGTTTAAACTTTTTCGTTTCTCGAAATATGGCCTTATGTAGTAGAATTCACTTGAAGTCTTCCCCAATCTAGGCTAGTGGAAAGCTGGGCGTATTGGGGACATGATGCATTGGAGGTTTTAGGGTATAAAGAATTTTGGAATGGGGGATAAGCAGTGGTTTGTTCAGATTTTGCCTCGTTATTGGCGAAACAAAGGATTACCTATCTCAAGGTTGTTTTGATATTTTGCAGCAAGAAGTCTATTTTTGTTAGCTTAATGGTAAAGAATAAGATTCGTGAATCTGCGTGCAAGGTTTTTACGTTAATCGGAAAATGATCAAAATTTTTGATATAAAATTCGGTTTTAGTTTTTGTCAAGAAATATGTGTAAAAAATTCAAAATTCTCGGGGTGCATCCAGATTTTTGTTTCTTTTACTCGAAGACCCTCAGTGAGCTTGTATATCTACTTCCCTAAGAAATTTTCACTCAAAGTTTATGCGTTAATTAGTATCACAGATGACAAAAATAGATTTTTGGGTAATTTTTTAATAAAAACAAACTCCATTATTTTTCAAAATTGTGATAAAATTTTAAGTCGGTAAGTCCTTTAAGGAAAAACCTTGATTACATTCTTCATTTATACACTTAGTAAAGTGATTATTTGCCAATTAGCTATTGAGACTATAAAATCCAGTTATTGGATATGGCAGCCATAAAAGGCCTTTAGCTGTTCTTATTATTTTATTTCATATTGTGACTCCCAATGAAATCTAATAAGTTTTAGTGTTTAAATTTAAATAAAAATTCTCTTTTTTATGAATAAATCATTGACCAGACTCTTCATGTTGGTCTTTAAAATATTTATCGAAATAAGGGCAGCATTATGATTCGTATTCTCTACAGGTAGTACGACACATAACACTATTTTGGGAATTATTTGAACAACAATGAGCTCCCTCAAGTGTCAAAAACTTATTGATTAACTGAAGGTTACATTAAGATTATACAATAGTAAATTATTTTTAAAAGTTTGCAATTTTACCTGAATAGGTAGAGATGAAATGATGGACTATCTTAACCCCAGAGCTGAAGATCTCGAGCATTTCGGAATCAAATAATATAAGATTCTGAAAAATATTTCCCTGATTTTAAAGTCTTTATTTTAATGCAGAATTATAAACTTTCCAAAACTGATTTATTTCCAAGCTTAAAAATTCACTTATCAAATATCTTCATATATTTGAAATTTATTATGAAAGTTTAATAATTTAGTAGTATAGCTTAAAAGCTAAAGGTGTTTTTGATATCCTTCATCGTGATTCCATGGGGAATGTATTCTTCATCTTCCTTAAGGAAATCCTCTTCTGCAAGAGGTATCGTTTCCTCTTTTCATCCATGACTTCGATGATTTCGTAGTTTAATAGCCTTTTGTAGTAAACTTCTTATGTCGCTTTGAAGTCCTCTTGAAGATTTTTGTATTTGAGATGGCTCCTTGTTAGTTAGTCTTCTTTTCATAATTAGGGACTCAAAGTTATGAGTTCCTCTTTGCTTCTTCATATCAATAGGTAACGAAGAAGCCTTACACAGTCTATTCTTTGCAGGCTTCATTTCAAAAGGAGACTCAGCAATTTTGCTCTCCAGATGAAGAGAATTAATTATTTTCAGCTTGTTAACCTGCTCATCTAGTATTTCATCAGATAAATTCTCGTCAAATTCAAGTTGGGTGTTCATTTAATAATATTATTAATAATCTCAATATTGCTTCTCTTTTATGGGGTTTTGGGGTTTTGGGGTTTTGGGG